CCCCCCCCCCCCCCCCCCCCCGTTTTCCCTGGCCCCTCAGTCTATACGCTGCTGTCTTTGAAGTCCTGGCCAGGCAGTGATTGCAGCGGGTACCACTGGGGGGAAATGAACGCCAAGTAAGGTAGCCAAGTAAGGGCCGACTCTTCAACATCATAGACAAACTCTACAACACAATATTATAATTATAGTACACAAGGGTGACCATGGTTCTCATGGTCGTCATACAAGTAACCAACTTAGGCTACTGAGCAACCTTCCTCCTTCGAGGGTGAACCATACAACTAGCAGGCGCCAAACTCAGATATCGGCATGAAACAAGTAGATATGAGGTTCAGGGATGCTGGACCTGGTTCCCAGCAGGTGCCACACTCAGATATCTGCATAAAACAAGTAGATACGATGTTCAGGGATGATGCGCTAACCTCACGCCTCGCGCCGCGTCCCGTACGTCGGACGCCGATCAGAGTAGTTAGGGGCGCGGCCGAGGATTTTTGGCCGTGGGGGTTGAGTCACCCGGACGAAACGGGGGAATCTTGCTTCAGGCCGAGGTGCTTAGACAGGGGTTTGAGCTGTCGCCGGGGGCGAGTATCGGGAGAACAGTGCCCTACAGCACGATCATCATCAAAAGAAGAAAACGTGCTGCAACGTTCGCATTGCGCAGGGCAGGATTAAGGGAGGGGAAGAGAATCGCTCAATCAGCACGAACCCACTCCCTCCTATGTGGCACGCCCGGGTGGGATTGTAAAGATGGATGGTCTCAGTGCGCCGCAGTATGCTCGGCACGTTCACATTGCAGTATACGCCATCGTCATCTGCGAGTGGGAAGGGCGGAAAGCGTGCTGCAACGTTTTGCGACCAAGTCCGAGCTCGGGTCACGGCCCACACTCCCGTCCGTCGAGACGAGACCTGACTCCATGCAAGGACCAACGAACACCCCGGAGAAGGACGCGCCTAACTCTCTCTCTCTCTCTGTGGGCATCAACTCGAATGCGGTGTGAGGATCCTTGGGTGGGCGCGGCGAGGTCGACCGCTTCGCTGGGGCCGCGAGCAACCGATCTCTTCGAAATTATCTCTCCCCTAGGTTCCCGACCTGCACACGATGAGAGAGAGATACAACGGAAGGAGGTTGGCGCGTATCCCGCACACCCACGCGCGTTTTAGGGGCGGAGGAAAGGAGGAAGGAACGACACACTCATGCACTTATGCAAGAAATCGACACTCAGGACTTTCTATCGTCAGGCGTGGGGCGCATACACACACGCCGACCTATAGGGCCTTCCTGAACAAGGGGACATTCAAGCATCCATAGACTTCCATACCCGAGAATGCATACAACCGACTACCCACACATTGGGACCTTGCACACATCACGCGGGGACAAAGCAGGAATGGAGAAAAAATATGTTCTTAGTATACAAAATTCTCACGGCTAGCCGCTCAGGGCCCAGCCCCCAATCCGTCAAACCACCGACAACCATAGCCACAAGGCCCTGCTGCTGCCGGCGTCTGATCTCCACCTGCCTTACCCCAAGTTTATCGCTTACTCTGCCACCCGCCGTCACTCCGCCCATCACGGGGCACGTCGAGCCCTTTCGGCGCTGCGGGTTTCGTGCATAGCTCGCACAACTTACAGTCGAGATCAAAG